CTTTGGTGGGGAAAGAGTTAAGCAGTTTAATAAATGAGTGTCTGTCACACTGACCCCAACACAACAGTCCACACTTAACTGTAGACTGTAGAGCCGTTATAAATATCCAACTGCGATTGAGTCGCTGTGAAGTCAGCGGTGTTTTAAAACACAATCTGTGTGTGTTTAGATGAGCTGTTGGTGATCACCGCGGCGACAGAAGTGACCGATGGCTACCTGAGGTTCATGCGCACCATCCGACAGTTCAACTACACCGTTCAGGTGTCGCGTCTACTCATTCCCTCCAAATCTGATACTTCTGTAGTTAATGTGACACCCATTGCATAAGTTATATGTGCGCACAATTATGTGTTTATGGTTTTATGTAGGTTCTGGGTCTGGGTGAGGAGTGGAAGGGTGGAGATGTGGCCCGAACCGTCGGCGGAGGTCAAAAGGTTCGATGGCTGAAGAAAGAACTAGAGAAACACAAAGACAAACAAAACATGGTCATCATGTTTGTGGACAGGTGAGAACACAATGCCATGACCTGGTCTCTCTTTTTTTTTTTTGCTCCTTAATAATAGTTTCTTTATTTATGTAACTTGATTTCTTAACCCTGGTGAGTATGAGGTTTCATTTAGGGCTGGGTTTTGACACAAATTTCACGATTCGATTCTCATTCACCTGCTTTCGATTCGATTACCAATTTGATTCGATTCAATATCGATTATTTTGGATATATATCAGGTACAGTACTTGCCAAATTTTCTCAAGGAAAAAAAATCTCCCAACAGTTAGTACTACATTACTATAATATTGAAGGTTAAAATTAACTGATTTGTAAGCTACAGCATACAGCTGTTAAAATTACACAATGAAGTGTTTAAAATAAAGTTACAATTGCATAATAATATTTCTACTTCAATTCGTTTTTTTTTTTTATATCAAAATTTAAATGGCTGTCATAAAAAAATGATGGATTTATTCAAACATAAATTAAACATTAGAACAGTAAAAATTATAATGAATATGTTATGTGGTGCATATATTTAGCAAAATGCCCCTCTCTACAGTTTATTTTTCTGTCTGACAACGTCTCCGCGTCGCGCGACACAACGAATCGATTATGAAATTCGTTGCCAACTCTTTTAGTAATCGATTTTTATCGATTTAATCGATTCGTTGTTGCAGCCCTAATTAATATCGAGATATTGATATTTTTTACCCATCCCTAGTTTCATTTGTGCCAAAAAAACAGTCGACTGCTTTGTAATGTATACATCAGTCCATGTCAACAGTCATTGTGTAAGATAACTTAGTATGTGTCGATGTGTGTGTTCTTTATGTTGTCTTGTTCTGTTGTTTAAGGTTTCCAAAAATGTGTTGTACAGATGATATATTTGTATATGTATATTTGCTCACAGGTAACTTCACAACTAGTGTTAATAGTGTTAAGTGAAACTAAAACAAAGAAGAAAAAAAACATTGTAATTATAAAAATAACTAGTTTTATTTTTAGTTGAAGCACTGAAATTAACTGAAATTGATCAAACCAAAAACTGAAATATAAATAAAAACGAACTTAAATCGCACAAAATTACTACAAATTTAACTAAAATTACAATGAAAACCGAAAAAAAGAAAAAGCGTTAGTTCAAATTATTAGTTATTTTTATTATTTTAAACTTATTTTATTTAAATATTCTTATTTTCAATTAGTTTAGCACTGAAATAACTAAAAATAAATAAAGTAACACCCCCCCAAAAAATAAATAATAAGTGTCAAATTCATTCAACCAAATTACTAAAACTTTAACTGAAATTGAACGAAAACAGAAAATATCAAAATTAAATCTTATTCAAAATATTAACAGAAACTATAATACTGTATCAAGTGTTACTAAAATAACACTTCTAATGGCAAAATTACGGTGGCCGAGAAGTGCAAAGCAGATCACAATTCTGAAATTGTTGTTGTGCTTTCTGAATTGTTATTTTGTTTTTTAGACTTGCATTTGCGTTTGTAATTTGTTATTTTGTTTTCAGAATTGTGATCTGCTTTGCACTTCTCGGCCACCGTACAAAATAAAGGTATTATCTGCTAGCAAATAAACTATACAAAATGATGCCATTCATTTATATTATCAGTTAAAAAACAAACAAACAGAGCTGTTCTTTATTGTTTTTATTAGAAAAAAGGAAAAGAAACCAGTTGTAGAACTTTGTGATCAAGAAAAGAAAAAGAGAAAAAATCAGTCTTTTAAATGTTGCGATCAGGATTTAAAATAATGTTTTTCTTAAGAGAATAAAAGAAGATGCTGTTCCTTTAAAAATACACCAATTAATCATGATTTTTGCAAAAAAGAAACTTCATTATTTTGAAAGTTTGTAAAGAGACTGAACAAAATCATAGTAAGAGTGACATTAACAAACAACATACACATCAATGACTGTACACATGGACTAATATAAAGTACAAAGCAGGCGACTGTTTTTGGAAACTCCTAACTGAACTCCCTATACAGTGTTTCTGTGATGTTGACTTGAATGTTTTGTGTGTGTGTGTGTGTGTGTGTGTAGTTATGATGTGATTTTAGCCAGCGGTCCAGAGGAGCTGCTCAGGAAGTTTTCTCGTTTCTCTCATCGCGTGGTTTTCTCCGCCGAGGGCTTCTGCTGGCCAGACCAGAGACTGGCATCCAAATACCCAGTAGTGCATCACGGCAAACGCTACCTCAACTCTGGAGGTGTGTGAGTGTGAGTGTGTGTGTGTGTGTGTGTGTGAGTGAGAGAGTGTGTGTGAGTGAGAGAGTGTGTGTGAGTGAGTGTGTGTGTGTGTGTGTGTGTGTGTGTGTGTGTGTGCGCGTGTGCGTGCGTGTGCGTGTAGGTTTCATCGGCTACGCTTCTGAGGTTCATGCTGTAGTGAAACAGTGGAAGTACAAGGACGACGATGACGACCAGCTGTTCTACACGCGCATCTACCTGGATAAAGAGCAGAGGGTGTGTGTGTTTGTAGAGTTATTAAAACACAATGAAGGACTCAGATCATCTTTACTGTGCCTTTATGCAGCAGCAAGCACAATTATTATCCTTAAATTAAACTGTTAAAAATGTTTTGTTAATTGAAACAAAGATGGAAAAAAAAAAAATAATAAAAATAATAAAATACAAAAAAATGAACTAAAACTAAAAGATAAATGAAACCTAAAAAAGATAAATTAAACTCACATGATAATATAGAAAACTGTTAAAAAAAGACAAAACACAAAATTATAAAAAATTGAACCAAAAGTAAAATGAAAACTGAAAATATAAAAATTGAAACTGATAAATAAATCAAATAAATAAACCTAAATGGTAATATAAAAAAGCCCCAAAAATATGTAAACCAACAATTAACATTATATTAATTAATTACAACAGTTACATTATTTAAAATCATCACACAAAAAAAAAAAACCTTCGCAGAGTTAGTATAACCTTCCAAGTTGTTTTAGAACAAAGAGCCTGTCATCATAATATCTTAAAAAAATATTAAGGAAATTATTTCAAAACTTTAATATCTGGGTTTATGAACATCTAAGAATTGATCTTAATAACTAACTATTAAGAAATAATTTTCATGAATCAACAGTTCTTTGAGGGAATGATACGTATAGCTGTTCATGCTAAATGCAGTTTTTCTTTTCCAGAGGAAGTTCAGCATCACACTGGACCACAAATCCCACATTTTTCAGAATCTCAATGGAGCCATGGGTACACACACACACACATACACATTCTCACACATACATACACATTCTCACACATACACACACATTCTCTCACACACACACACACACACACACACACCCACACACACACACACACACACACACACACATTCTCACACATACACACACATTCTCACACACACACACACATTCTCACACATACACATTCTCACACATACACACACATTCTCACACACACACACACATTCTCACACATACACATTCTCACACATACACACACATTCTCACACACACACACACATTCTCACACATACACATTCTCACACATACACACACATTCTCACACACACACACACATTCTCACACATACACATTCTCACACATACACACACATTCTCACACACACACACACATTCTCACACATACACATTCTCACACATACACACACATTCTCACACACACACACACATTCTCACACATACACATTCTCACACATACACACACATTCTCACACACACACACACATTCTCACACATACACATTCTCACACATACACACACATTCACACACACACACACACACACACACACACTTCTGTGTTGTGCCCTGTAGTCCTGCTGTAATTCTGCCTGTGTTGTTGTGATTTTGTCTGATGCCTGTGTGTTTTTCCAGAGGAAGTGGTCCTGAAGTTTGAGAAATCCAGAGTCAGAGCTCGGAACGTGGCCTATGACACACTTCCTGTCGTTATCCATGGCAACGGCCCGACTAAGGTAAACGCAAACATTCTGCACAGTAATCGCTCTGTTACCGCTGCGCCATCATGTAATGTACAGACATTCACATCAGACATTTGCTTTACTGCTGATCACACTGTGATATACATATACACCAATGAAAAGATAAAAAATATATAAATTAATTATAATTAAAAGAAATTAGTATATTTAATCAGCAGTGATCCTTTAAATTGATCAAAAGTGACAGTAAATACATTTATAAAGTTATAGAGGATTTCTATTTGACTAACTGTTTATACATTATCAATGACAGTCTTCAGAAAACCTGGTTGAAAAGAGTCATTGTGTGTGTGTGTCTGTGTGTGTCTGTCTGTCTGTGTGTGTCTGTCTGTCTGTGTGTGTGTGTGTGTGTGTGTGTGTGTGTGTGTGTGTGTGTGTGTGTGTGTGTGTGTGTGTGTGTGTGTGTGTGTGTGTGTGTGTGTGTGTGTGTGTGTGTGTGTGTGTGTGTGTGTGTGTGTGTGTGTGTGTGTGTGTGTGTGTGTGTGTGTGTGTGTGTGTGTGTCTGTCTGTGTAGCTCCAGCTGAATTATCTGGGTAACTACGTGCCGACGGCGTGGACGTACGAACACGGATGTGGGATCTGTGACGATGATTTGCTGGACCTGAACGGTCTGTCTGTGAGTGGCTGACACAAACACATTCTGACAAATGCGTCGTGTGCTTTAGGAGGATGAGATTGTATGTTTGTATGTGTTTGTGTAGGACGAGGAGATGCCGCTGGTGCATATCGCTGTGTTTATCGAGCAGCCAACGCCGTTTCTGGAAGAATTTCTGGAGAGACTCGCAACTTTGAACTACCCACACACACGCTTACGACTCTTCATACACAACAACGTACGTTCACAATGACAACGTGCATTTTACATTATTAAATTAAATTGTTAAATTATTACATATCATTTTCATACATAAGAAAGAAAGTACACACTAGAAATCGACCGATATTGTTTTTTTTTATAATCGATATCAATACAGATCATTTGCATGTTTATGTGCCAGGTAACCGATATTTGTACAAACACAAAGACAACAACGTACATTTTAAATTAGTAAATTAAATTATTGAATTGTTATATTTCATTTTCATACACAACTTATGTACACAACGACAACAACGTACATTTTAAATTAGTAAATTAAATTATTATATTATTTTATTTTATTTTTTATACATAACAAATGCAAGTACACACTAGAGATCGACCGATATTGTTTTTTTTATAACCGATATCAATACAGATCATTTGCATGTTTATGTGCCAGGTAACCGATATTTGTACGAACACAAAGACAA